AATTTTACGGAGACTTGCCACGGTCTCCAACCCTCCTCCTTTCTCATCCGGGCTTGGGACCGGCCGTGGCCGAGTTATCTTCATAATCTATTTAGCTTTTTTATAACTAATAACAGCGGCAAAACTAACAATAAATATTATGCTAATTATATGATGAGCTAAGCTACGATGGAACCGATATAAGCGCAAAATGTATATTGAGCTATATGGTTTAAACTCGGTTCAGTTATGGAACTTCTTGAAAGATGCTGAAGTCCTGTCAAACAGTAAATGACTAGCTCGTCAAAAATCATAAAATCTTTGAAAGATTATCTTGCAAGTGGGCTAAGTGAGTTAACTGACGATATTAGCCCATATAGTTGGCGGATAACGCGTTTAAGCTAAATGTAAAATCGATTAAATAGCGTTTCGTTGGTATGCAGATTAGTGTATTACTTGATGGAAATTTTCATTCAGCGTTAGTCTTTAGTAATGAATGTAAAAAGTAATTCATCTTAACCGCAGTAAAATGGTGGGGGGGGGGAGTATTTGATAATATATCACGCATCATCCAAGATTGAATTTAATAAGCAGATTAAGACAGACTGACCTCTCAAAATGTTCAGTCAAAATCCGCTTTCGCGGTAGTGAAATTAAGGTTTAGAAGAAATCGGGTACAGCGAGGAACACATTATAGTGATAGTGCTGTTCTAATGATGATGATAAACGGTTCGTGTTTGCCAAAACTTTGCTGTTCAGTTGCGCTGCTCTGTTGCCTGTTGCCTGCCAATCATGCAGCCACAAACTAAAGGAATTAAACCATTAGCCATTTTGCAATTCATAATCGTTATGAATTTCGTAAGATATTCAGAGTAGTTGGGAAACTGGTTTGATTTCTTGCTTTACGAGTTAATCAAGTGTTTTCTAATCCAGGCACTGCGTTTGATTTTCTAGAATACATTTAGATAGATAGGTAACCAGTGATCTGGTCTACCGACAGTTCAGAAAGTATGTCAGTCACTCAGTTTCGATGACCGCTTATACTCTGGGAATCGCGGAGGCAGACACTCCATGCGGTGTCTCCAACTTGCCCGATGCTGTGCCACCGTTTGAACTTCAGTAGAAGATCTGGAGCAGAGACATTCCAGATATTTGCTCCACGTCATCTGCGACGTCTTCAGCCGGTCTGTTGAGCAAGTAGTAACTGTTTCGCCTTCCCTTCCAAAACAGATGCTGCTATCACTTCTCAATCTGGAGAAACGGCGACCGTACAGCAAGGTCCAGCGATTCATCCAGGTGAACTTCTCCTTGTTTTACTGCTAATCTATTCATCCGCAGAACGCAGGGCCGGAGGAACGAGATTTCATGTGAACTTATTCCCTTTAGATACGTTCACCCTCACGCACTCGGCTGCTAACCATACCAGAGAGCGCTGAGGATCTGTTTCAGAAGATGACAATAAAATAAAGTCATCTGTAAACAGCAACCTTCTCATCTCCACATCTACGCTAATACATGTAGAGATTACTGATCTGTAGTGCCTGACCGTCCTATCTATTTACAGCACAAGCAGGGGAGGGATAGAAGCTGACGCGCTGAAAGATCTCGACTTAACGCCATTTACTATGACGCAGAACCTGTATCATGAATCAATATATAGTGACTGCATACCTCGTAACTACTGCCCATCGATCCCAAACGTCTGCAGGCACGCTCATAGCTTGTTGTGCAGAATCCAGTTATAGGCTTTCTCTAGGTCAACAAAGCACGTGTAAACCGGATGAGCGGACTGGTACGATCTCTCAAGAATCCGAAGCAAGGCGAAGATCTGGTTAAATATGCTTCAGCCTGACCTGAAACAACACTACTCTTCATGAGTCTTAGAGTGAGCTATTCCGCGGAACTTCCTTTCTGACACTTTTGTGTGGACTTTTCCCGGAAGATTTCATAAGGTAACCTGTTGATAATAAAAACATTCCGTAAGGTCTCCCTTCTTGAACAGAAGTACTACAGACAGCCCCTTTCTCACGCCCATCTTTAGTCCACTTTTGTCTTCTCAATGGCAATTGTAGTTTCCCAGACACGAATTGGTTAGAAATTCCTTCGTTCGCCTAGACTTCTGAACATTGCAGGGCGGATTTCATTGAGTCCCGTAGCACTGCCACTTTCCAAGCTTGATGCAGCTACTGTAACTTCGTCTACTGAAAGACTAATATCCTCGCCTGATGCTCTACAGGCGTGTCTTCTTGCGGTCAGGATTAAGGAGTTCCTCAAAGTACTCCCCCCATTGCTGAAGAATGCCATCATCCTCGATAAGAGGGGGACCAGACCTGTCCTTCAAGACTCTTAAACTTCCCTTCGTTTTATCTTCGAGATGCGGATTGTCTGCCAGAATACCTTGTTTGCTCTCTGGAAATTCGATTCCAACACCTCGCCGAACTCTTCCAGGAATCAGCTTTCGCTTTGTTCACTGCTTTTGCTGCTGCCCTGCGCCCTTCCTGGCACCGCATTCGAGTTGAAGACTCTTTGATTCCAGGTCATTGTCTTGTTGAATGCAGCCTTATGCTCGCTGAGAGCCAGCTGAACCTCTTGTGCGCATCAGAAAAATCGTTTCTCACCAAAAGCAGTAGATCAACCGGTTTTGAACAGCAGTTTTCAGTCGCAGCTCCGAACAAACGGCTCTTAAACAGTTTCCACTCGTTTTCCATATCAGCGTTGGTCATTGAGATTTCTTCATTCCGTAATGTGATGTTATTTGCAAGTTTGCCCTCGAATCCGCGGAATTCTCCAGTTGCTTCCACTGGCAGGTCTTCACAAGGTACTCAATCGTTTGCTACAGACGGTGCTATCAGCAAGGTGGTGATCGGTGGATACCTCAGCACCTCTCTTACCGCGAACATCCATTACTGAGTGTCTTAGACGATACGATTATCAAATCGATCAACGACTTCTGTACACAAGCTTCCCGGTACCAGGTGTATTGATGCACTCTTCAGTGCTCAAAGAAGGTGTTTATAATGGACAGTCCTTGGTTTGCACAAAATAGCAGCAACATCGTATCGTTATTATTGACGTCACTAGGACCGTTACTTCCGCTCCTCTTCTCCACTTTTCTGTGACTGAGCAGGTATGCATTTTATCGCCCATTACAGTGATTGATTCCGTAATTTCAGTTAATACTGAGCACCTACCTCGTTTAGGAAAGATTCATATTCACCATCCGAATTGGGCACATAAATTTGTAACAACGTCGAAATTTTGGCTTATTGTCGATTAAGTCGAATTAATTGCCACCCTTCCGCTGACAGGCTTTCATTCAATAATTTTGAATGTTTCACAGTTCTGTGAGATCACCAACACCGGTATGAAGGTGTTTCGTGATACTGACACCCTGGATAAAGCAGCTTTTATCCGCAAAGGTTCACAATTCTCGAACCCTGGCACTTCGTCGACGAGATTCCAACTATATCCAATAGTATCTCGCGGCTTCATCAATTAACTCCTGCTCGTTCCCTCTGTATGAGGAAACATTCCAATTTCCATTTGTATGTGGCCATTTCCGTGGAGCCATATCTGACATGCTATAAATTCATCGCGTTGTCTGCCTCTTCCGTTCAAAGCAAGTTGCTGATCCATCGCTGACTGATAGCTTCATCTTTCTCTTGTCTCTTTTCGGTCTTTCTTTCGTCGCAATGCGACGGCCCTAGCTTCAAGAACGTGTAAGGCAAGTTTTTAATGTTGATTTTTCGAAGTCAGCCTTTGCCGATTGCCTAACAGCCTCTGCAGCCCTTTGTAACCCGGAGGACGACCGAAGTTCTAACGTTCGATAACTGCGATACCATGAGGGTCAGGCGACTAGTTTTGCGGGAGATATCATCACGGTCCCCAAACTTCCTCCTTCTTCACTCAGGCCTGGGTCTGGCAACGGAGGAGTTCATTTGGGACATTATAGTGCTTTTCTATGGCCATATCCAGACAGCACAGTAGATGCCGCATTTTGTTTCGCGGACAAAACACATGCTGATTTAGATTATGCTTACCATCGAGATAGCTACGAATGATTATTAGTCGGTGGTCCTTCCGTTTTTTGGGACTTGTAATCGGGACAAACCTTGCCTATGCAGATTAGCGAGGTTCAATCCAAAAGTTTCAATTCATAATTATATGTCCGCTTCAGAGTTCCTGGCAACCTTGCACTCGAATTGTCGTTTGTTGCTGAAGCTTCAAATGTTAAGGTGTTTCAGAAAATAATTAGAGCAAAGTGTTTCTAACTTTGAGCTGTTTACAAGCTTTGTTTTGCGTCAATATGCATTGTATGAATTAATCGGTTTGTGGAGGGTTGTCAACTTCCGGTTGTCGATTGAGCTGTCCGTGATACATCAGCATTTGCACAAGTGTAGGGTGATCATGGTTGCCTTTTTCATTTTTATAAGGCTCTTTTTATTGAAGCTGGATTTCCGTGAACTGTATCGACGATTTCGAGTCCGTGTAGCCATAGACTTTTTTTTTTGGGGGGGGGGGCTCAAGCTGCTTGCCGTCTCTTTTAGTGCGCATCATAAATGAGAGTTTCTGTTTATTTTTGGTCATGTTACGCCTGATCATGATCCTCTGTCGCATAACGCATTTAAGACGAAGGTAGGGTATCACTTAATGGCACGGTGATGGGGCCTTCACGAGATTTTCAACCGACAACCATTATTGTTCGTTTCTTCGTTTACGCACGACTTCGTTAAAGAGGTTATGAATGTTCATTCCGGTGCTGTATGATGATAGCGTCTGCCGCCACACGTTGTTCGAATGCGGTGGATCGACTGACATGTTATCATGATTAACATTAATTACGGTTGACAGAGGCACACGAAGTATGGTGAAAGGTAGTGACAAATATAAAATGACAAATGGCATTCTGTGTATCGTCTAGTAGCCTGCGTTGATTGCCATGCGATGTTCCCCATCAAACGCTGTGTACTGACGTAGTACGATTTTAGGCACATCCGAGCAGAATGCCGTTCAGAGTTCCACCACTAGTCCAACCAGCACGCACTCGCCGGAGGGGTCGAACGAGAAACAGCGCAAGATCAACCGCGGAGACGGCAGCAATAAAATGGCGTACAACACCGAAGCCACCGGTAGTAACAACGTGTTACGGTGCATACTGTGTCATGAGCGCCTGGAGGACACGCATTTCG